CTCTCTCTGTCTGTCAGCATCTCCCTGCTGTTACCAAGGTGTCTGGTCCCTGAGCGCAACACCTCCTCTCTCTGTCGGTCAGCATCTCCCTGCAGTTACCAAGGGTCTGGTCCCTGAGCGCAACACTTCCTCTCTCTGTCTGTCAGCATCTCCCTGCAGTTACCAAGGGGTCTGGTCCCTGAGCGCAACACTTCCTCTCTCTGTCGGTCAGCATCTCCCTGCAGTTACCAAGGGGTCTGGTCCCTGAGCGCAACACCTCCTCTCTCTGTCGTCAGCATCTCCCTGCAGTTACCAAGGGGTCTGGTCCCTGAGCGCAACACCTCCTCTCTCTGTCTGTCAGCATCTCCCTGCAGTTACCAAGGGGTCTGGTCCCTGAGCGCAACACTTCCTCTCTCTGTCGGTCAGCATCTCCCTGCAGTCACCAAGGTGCAGGTGGTGTCTCACCATTCCGCCGCCGGTAAATCTCTAGGACATCAAAAACCAAACCCTGTCTCTCGCTGAAACATCAGCATCACCACCTCCCTGTTGTCTGTATCACCCAGATCCCTGAGGATGAATTCCTGACTGAACACACGCACACATAGCCTATTATCAGTAAGGAAGAATGGGATATTTCTCTCCACGCCGCAATAAAGGTATTTCTCATATTTTTGTATTTGTTTTATTTAACCTTTATTTAAACAGGGAGTCACATTGAGATTAAAATCTATTTTACAAGAGAGCCCTGTATACATTACAATAAAAACGGAATAATAAAACAACATACATATATGTGTATAAAACAATATCATTCAGCACACAATAACAAAATAAACATATTTAATAAAAACTAATCACATTCGACTACATAGAGGTCCTCAATCACTAATTTAAACTGGCTGAGTGGCACCAGCACATCGAACTGCAGTGAACTCTGCAGATTGTTCCACAAATTAGGGGCAAAAATACTAAACGCAGATTTCTGAGAGACTGAAGGGATCTTTAGTGTTATCCATTCCTGAGAACGGATTCGGTAACTTATGATTCTTAACTTAATTAATGAAGTTACATATGAAGGGAGTTTCTGTCAGATTGCTTTGTAAATAAATAAAAGAGAATGCAGCTCTCTTCTTACAGACAGAGAGGTCCATTCCACATTTTTATACAGACTACAATGCTGAGTCCTAAAATTGTCCCCTGTGATAAAACGTATTGCGGAATGTTACAAGTATTAACAGTGTTAAGATGAACAATAATGGACCCAAAATAGAACACTGAGGAACACCTTTTTGAATCTCAAGAAATTCAGATTTAACCCCATCTGTCAAGATGGCCCGAGTTGTGTCGCTAAGATCATTCTGAAACCATAAACAGGCTGTATATCCCAGGCCCATTCTTGATAACGTCTTCAGCAAAACAGATCAACAGTGTCAAACGCCTTTGACAGGTCAATAAACGAGGCAGCACAGCTCTTTTTATCATCCAAGGCATTGAATAAGATCCTTAACAACTAGCGTGGTTGCCGTGGTAGCACTATGCCCAGGCCTAAACCCTGATTGGTTTATATTAAAAATACAATTATCAGATAAAAAGGAACGAAGTTGTACATTATCCAAGGGTTCACGAATCTTAGCTGAACAAGGTAGTCTTGAAATGGGGCGATAGTTGTCCAGATCATTTGTTTCCCCACCCCTTATGGAGTGGCAGAATATTTTTTGCGGATTTCCATGCTTTTGGAATACTTCCTGATAACAACGTTAAATAAAAAAACGTGGGCTACTGAGCCGGCAATAAAGGGAGCTGCACACTTAAGCAGACCAGGCTCCAGATGATCAGACCAGGCTCCAGATGATCAGACCAGGCTCCAGATGATCAGACCAGGCTCCAGATGATCAGACCAGGCTCCAGATGATCAGACCAGGCTCCAGATGATCAGCCCAGGCTCCAGATGATCAGACCAGGCTCCAGATGATCAGACCAGGCTCCAGATGATCAGACCAGGCTCCAGATGATCAGACCAGGCTCCAGATGATCAGACCAGGCTCCAGATGATCAGACCAGGCTCCAGATGATCAGACCAGGCTCCAGATGATCAGCCGCTGTAGATTTATCTTTGTCTAATGTTAGCAAGACTTCTTTATCAGTGAATTTCCGAAAAGAAAACTCCTGAGCAGCGTTTTCAGTATCATTCAAAAGATTTTCACCATCAACATCCACACTACTCTTTTCAAGATCTGGCTTTGAAATACATTCAAATATATATATATATATATATATATATATACTGTATATAGCCCACAGAGATAAAATGGTGATTAAATGCATTAATGATATCCATTCTGTCAGTAATAGGGCCAGAATCTAAATTAATTCCTTGGGGGAGAGAAGAGGAGACGCAACCCTTCAGTGACGTAACAGCTTTCCAAAATGTACCTGGGTTCCCTGTACATTCAGATAGTGTATTAACATGATCATCTGATTTTGCTTTTTTAACTAGTTTTACACACAGATTTCTCAAATCGCCTGAGAGACTGCCAGTCTGGGCCCCGAGTCTGTGAATCTAGCTTTGGCCCAGGAAGCATCTCTGACTTCAGATAGCTCTGGACTGAACCAAGGGCAAGACCCTATTTTTAATTCTCTGTTTTTTAAAGGGAGCATGTTTATCTACAATACAATTGAAAACATTTGAGGAGTGGTTCAGAGCCAACTCTGGGTCAGGTATAGAAGCAATACAATCAAAGTCACCAAAATAAAGGTCACAAAAAAAGGCCTGAAATGTTTAAAATTCCTCGTTGATAAAACGAGGTTTGGATCGAGGCATCCGTATATCCCTGACACATACCATGGGACAGTGGTCACTAATATCCAAAGCAAATACCCCACTCCCAGCAGATTTCTCTGGAGTATTTGTAAATATGAGGTCAAAGTCGATTTCTTAGGGTCCTTTAAGTTTGGACGAGTAGGCTTTATAATCAGCTGGGTCAAATTTAGATTAGTACAAAAATCATTTAAACAGTCAGCATTCTGGGACTAAACACCTCCCTCTGCAACTGGATCCTGGACTTCCTGACGGGCCGCCCCCAGGTGGTAAGGGTAGGTAACAACACATCTGCCACGCTGATCCTCAACATGGGGGCCCCTCAGGGGTCCATGCTCAGTCCCCACCTGTACTCCCTGTTCACCCATGACTGCATGGCCAGGCACGACTCCAACACCTTCATTAAGTTTGCCGATGACACAACAGTTGTAGGCCTGATCACCAACAATGATGAGACAGCCTATAGGGAGGAGGTCAGAGACCTGGCCATGTGGTGCCAGGACAACAACCTCTCCCTCAACGTGATCAAGACAAAGGAGATGATTGCAGACTACAGGAAAAAAAAGAGGACTGAGCACGCCCCCATTCTCATCGACGGGGCTGTAGTGGAACAGGTTGAGAGCTTCAAGTTCCTTGGTGTCCACATCACCAACGAACTATCATGGTCCAAACACACCAAGACAGTCGTGAAGAGGGCACGACAAAGCCTATTCCTCCTCAGGAGACTGAAAACATTTGGCATGGGTCCTCAGATCCTCAAAAAGTTCTACAGCTGCACCATCGAGAGCATCCTGACTGGTTGCATCACTGCCTGGTATGGCAACTGCTCGGCCTCCGACCACAAGGCACTACAGAGGGTAGTGCGTACGGCCCAGTACATCACTGGGGCCAAGCTTCCTGCCATCCAGGACCTCTATACCAGGCGGTGTCAGAGGAAGGCCCTCAAAATTGTCATAGACTGTTCTCTCTGCTACAGCACGGCAAGCGGTACCGGAGCGCCAAGTCTAGGTCCAAAAGGCTTCTCAACAGCTTCTACCCCCAAGCCATAAGACTCCTGAACAGCTAATCATTGCTACCCAGACAATTTGCACTGCCCCCCCACCCCATCCTTTTACGCTGCTGCTACTCTGTTAATTATTTATGCATAGTCACTTTAACTCTACCCACATGTACATATTACCTCAACTACCTCAACTAGCCGGTGCCCCCGCACATTGACTCTGTACCGGTACCCCCCCTGTATATAGCCTCCCTACTGCTATTTTATTTTACTGCTGCTCTTTAGTTATTTGCTTTTATTTTTTTTACTTAACACTTTTTATTTGTTTTACTTTGCATTGTTGGTTAAGGGCTTGTAAGTAAGCATTTCACTGTAACGTCTACACCTGTTGTATTCGGCGCATGTGGTAAATAAAATTTGATTTGAACTAAAATTCAAAACTGATCCTGGATCAGCACATTTTGTGTGTGTGTGTTACTTTTTACCCCCTTTTCTCCCCAATTTTGTGATATCCAATTGGTAGTTACAGTCTTGTCCCTTCGCTGCTACTCCCGTACGGACTCAGGAGAGGCGAAGGTCGAGAGCCATGCGTCCTCCGAAACACGACCCTGCCAAGCCGCACTGCTTCTTGACACACTGCTCGCTTAACCCAGAAGCCAGCCACACCAATGTTTCGGAGGAAACACTGTACAACTGGCGACAGAAGTCAGCGTGCATGCGCCCGGCCCGCCACAAGGAGTCGCTAGAGCGCGATAGGACAACGACTTCCCGGCCGACCAAACCCTCCCCTAACCCGGACAACGCTGGCCACCTCATGGGTCTCCCGGTCAGCCTTCGTCCGCTGCAGCACCCAGGAGGCCCCTAGATCAGCACTTCTATGCAGCAAGCTTTGTGAATAGAGATTGAACACTTTACTGTTTATGTAGGTTCACAGGTATGACCTAATGAACATCTAATCAGGAGCAGATAACTCAACTCCCTGCTGTGAAAAATCACAACAGTGAGGCAAGACTGCTCTGCCAGGCCCACAGATAAATGGATGTGATGAACACAACAGCCTCCCTGACGAAGGCCATGCAGCCGAAACGCGTCGGATTTAAAAAAAAAACTTGCTTCTATTGAACATGTCATACTAATAAAGGCATTTTAATTAATTATGAAGAGTGCCTCGGTCCTCCTTTCTTTTTGATCAACAGCTATTCTGTTCTAATGTAATATAAACCTGTAAATGCTCATCACACAAGGGACCCATTTAGCACCAAAACACTCAAACATACTTTATTGTGGTGTGGAGGTAAGGAATGATTGTGTACGAGGGGGTCGCCACATTCTGGAGCAACTGGTGCAGCCATTTCAGTTTATTATATTCAAATGAAAGTCTTTACTACCAATTAAAATTGGACATAAAGCCTGTGGCAATTTTTTTTTTATATAAACAAAGCTTACAAAGCATACTGACAAAGTACTAATCATTCACTTTGTTTTATATCTGAAGCAACATGGCAAACAAGTTAAATAGTCAAAACAAATATAAAAGAAAAAATGTTTAAGTTGCTACATTTCTTTGAGTTTTAACAATCCAAGAAGTTTGCAGCCATGAGCAACTCCAGAGCGATCTCGGGGGCGATGGGAAATTCTGGAATTTCTGTAGAACTGTTGGTGTAACGGACCTTGTAGGTGAAGTACATGCACACCTTGGACAGGACATGGGAGGGGATCTCTCGGAAGTTCACTTCGTTGGTTTCATTCTCTGCAAACTGACCTGGGGGGGGAAAAAAAGTAAGTGATACGTTTGTTAGTTTGATACACAGAACGAGGTTTTATTGATCTGAGATTTGGTTCAGAACTAACATTTCTGTTTATTCAAAATGACTAACCGTTGGCACTCCCAGCCTACAAGCATTGAGATCAAGTTGGGAACAGGATTTCAACTAATATTTGGGATTATATTAAAGAAAGTAATGGAAATGCCAACACTTTGAACCTATTATGAGCAGGTTGAACATTTAAAATGTGTGTACAGCTAATTCAATGGATGTACAGTATGTGATTGATTGGACTAGCAAGCTGTTTCAGTCATGGGCTTCTTTGACCGCACACCCTTTGCATTCTTCATGTAAAATCAAACATGTTGTCCTGTCCTGCCTCAACAGTTTGAATGTCTGCTTACCTGGCCCTCTCAACAGATTAGAATATGAGATGAGGAGATGGATGAATGGGCTACAGGAGAGAAATTTAGTGGAAGAATAGGGTATTGAACCACTGCCTCCAGGGGCAGCAGCTCTACCACTAGGCCAGCCCCCCGCAGATTCTTTGCTATATCAATCAAACACCACTTACATGGTCCAGTCAACATGGCGTTGATGGTCCATGAGGTCAAGGGCTTACCTGGTTCACTCAAACATGGTTTTGATGGTCCCTGAAGTGAAGGGCCTTACCTGGTCCACTCAACATGGCTTTGATGGTCCCTGAGGTCAAGGCGTGTTCTCTCTTCACTATGAACTCATGGCCATCAGAGGAGATCAGCTTGACATACATGGCATCTGGGCCTTCACAGCCACCGTAGGTCTTCTCTTCACCATCTAATGAGTGGATGAGGAAAAAGTGAGACTGTTGAACTGCGTTTCAATTTATAGGTAATTTATGCCTATTCTTTACACTCCATTAGTTTTTTTTCTTCCATTAAGTTGGTGACATGTCGCCTTAACATTCTCTCACCCATTTTGTCTTGAAATCCGAAACTCTTGTCCCTGAAACATACGACATTTATTAAAATCACTTCGGCCACATTTAAAAAATGTCTCATTTCAGGTGACTAGCTAGCTAACGTTAGTTGGCTGGCTAGCTGACAAACATTGTCGTAGCATTGAACTAGCTAGACACCTAGCTATAGGGGACAGTACTAAACATTTAACATGGCATGCCCCAAATACTTGAAACCCTGAATCAGAGACACGCCATCAAGTACCTAACCGTACAAACAACAGCTGAAGCCCCAAGCTATCGGAAGCTATTACGCTAGCTAGCTGTGTGCTAAGTCAGCTAGCTAGTTAACCAGTCGTTGCCTTCCAGTTTGACGAACAATCAACGTACCAAAAAATACAGCTCGTTATATAATCAGATTACGAATACACCTTACAATATAGTGTCATAAAATGATAGTTATTTTCTTTACCACACAGTAGTTGAATGTGGATACTTTTCGTTCCGGCTAGCAAGATCCTTTCACACAGGAAACAGTTCCGGTAAATAGCAGTGCGCGTATGTTATCCCTTCCGTAGGATACCACACACTACGTTATGAGGTTCCGCTTAAACTTGTTCCTGTCTGACTTTTGTCAAGGGTTGATATCAACCTAATCTGGTGGTGGAATGTATCAAATATCGTTAATAGAGGTGTGCATACAACCAAACAAAAAATAAAGAGTAGGGTCTCACCTTTCAACTTCATTTCAAGATACAGTATCTGTTGCATGGTTTTGCGATGAAGAATGGGACAACACTGCCTCTTTGTGGACACATTTAATATTACAACACTGTCATAGAACAAAAAAAAAAATAAGCAGCAACAACACATCAAAAATAAAATAGAGGAAACAGCATACTAGTTATTCCCTGTAGTAGTTGTCTCCATATGATTATAATAAATGTCCTTCATTGGACCATCAATATGGTTTATCCAAGTTTGTTTCATTTCAATATCCCCTATATGTCACAATTTTATTAAACTGTGCTGCAGTGCAGTAATAGGATTGCTAATCCTGCCGTCTATCCAGGGGGCACCTTAGCCTCTACTCTGAGAGGGCTTGGTGTCCATTCCAAATGGCACCCTAATCCCTACATAGGGCACTAAGCCCTATGGTCCCTGGTCAATAGTAGTGCACTATAAAAGGAATAGGGTTTCATGTGGGACATGGCCTTGGTCTGGCTACGCTAACACGCTAATGTAGCACTAGCACTGCTGTCCAGGCCTGTCAGTCCCGGTTCTGACAGGGGACAGCAGCTGCTGGCGGACAGACACATGACCCCAAGCCCCGTACCCAACCAAAGGACCTATCAATCTAGCCCTGAGAGAGAGAGAGAGAGAGAGAGAGAGAGAGAGAGAGAGAGAGAGAGAGAGAGAGAGAGAGAGAGAGAGAGAGAGAGATGGGACAGAGAGGAGAGAGAAATGAGAGAGAGAGAAGGGGATAGGGGGGAGAGGGAAGAGGGAAGAGGGAAGAGAGAGAGAGAGAGAGATAGAGAGAGAGAGAGAGAGAGAGAGGAGGGAGAGAGAAAAAACTATACATACCTCGGCCTAAACATCAGCGCCACAGGTAACTTCCACATAGCTGTGAATGATCTGAAAGACAAGGCAAGAAGGGCCTTCTACGCCATCAAAAGGAACATAAAATTTGACATCCCAATTAGGATCTGGCAAAAAACACTTGAATCAGTTATAGAACCTATTGCCCTTTATGGTTGTGAGGTCTGGGGTCCGCTCACCAACCAAGAATTCACGAAATGGGACAAACACCAAATTGACACTGCATGCAGAATTCTGCAAAAACATCCTCTGTGTACAATGTAAAACATCAAATAATGCATGCAGAGCAGAATTAGGCTGATACCCGCTAATTATCAAAATCCAGAAAAGAGCTGTTAAATTTCTACAACCACCTAAAAGGAAACGATTCCCAAACCTTCCATAACAAAGCCATCACTTACAGAGTCCTGGGTCTCTGTTCGCAAACACAAACAGACCCCACAGAGCCCCAGGACAGCAACACAATTAGACCCAACCAAATCAAGAGAAAACAAAAAGATAATTACTTGACACATTTGAAAGAATTAACAAAAAAACAGAGCAAACTAGAATGCTATTAGGCCCTAAACAGAGAATACCTGACCACTGTGACTGACCCAAAATTAAGGAAAGCTTTGACTATGTACAGACTCAGTGACCATAGCCTTGCTATTGAGAAAGGCTGCCGTAGGCAGACCTGGCTCTCAAGAGAAGACAGGCTATGTGCACACTGCCCAAAAAATGAAGTGGAAACTGAGCTGCATTTCCTAACCTCCTGCCAAATGTATGACCATATTAGAGACACATACTTCCCTCAAGTTACACAGACCCAACAAGGAATTTGAAAACAAATCCAATTTTGACAAACTCCCTTATCTACTGGGTGAAATACCACAGCGTGCCATCACAGCAGCAAGATTTCTGTGATGTAAAAAGGGCTTTATAAATAAATGTGATTGATTGATTTGTGACCTGTTGCCACAAGAAAAGGGCAACCAGTGAAGAACAAACACCATTGTAAATAAAACCCATATTTATGTTTATTTATTTTCCCTTTTGCACTTGAACTATTTGCACATTGTTACAACACTGTATGTAGACATAATATGACATTTGAAATGTCTTTATTCTTTTGGAACTTTTGTGAGTGTAATGTTTACTGTTAATATTTATTGTTTATTTCACTTTTGTTTATTATCTGTTTCACTTGCTTTGGCAATGTTAACATATGTTTCCCATGCCAATAAAGCCCTTAAATTGAAATGGAATTGAGAGAGAGAGAGAGAGAGAGAGACAGAGAGAGAGAGAGAGAGAGAGACATCTGAAAGGGGAGAGGGTGAGAGAGAGAAAGAGAGAAAATGATGTGTTATGCCTGCATCCACATGCCTGCATCCTGGGAATAGGGGACTGTGTACTTACGTTTGGCCCTGCCTGCGTGGTCGTGCTCAAATCATTTTGATGCACTATGAGAGGTAGGCACGCTTTTTCTGTCGTCTTCAGAAAAGTTAGATTCCTTTAAGCACAAAGTCATGACACACAGTGTTTTGTTCATGAATAATGTTGTATATTTAGAGTTTACTCATAAGTGGATGGTATTGTTAAGATGCAATTGTACTTTTTAGGATGATATTAACATTGTGAATTCAACATGTGGTTACTAGCTAGCTAAGGTATTGTATGTGTGAACGATGGCTAGGCTCCTCCACTGATCCCAGTTCAGTTCAACATGTGGTTACTAGCTAGCTAAGGTATTGTATGTGTGAACGATGGCTAGGCTCCTCCACTGATCCCAGTTCAGTTCAACATGTGGTTACTAGCTAGCTAAGGTATTGTATGTGTGAACGATGGCTAGGCTCCTCCACTGATCCCAGTCCTTTGTATTGTCCGTCGATGTTGTAGAAAGAGGCGACAACGGGCAGAACATGTTTGTGCTCTACAAATGTTTTGTCTTTTCTTTTGGATGCAGAGAGAATTCTGATTCATTAAAACAGCCTGATCTCCGAAGTCCACGTCTATAGTCCCAATCAATCACACACAACGCAGAGATACAGCCGTGCAGTACAGCACCGGTTACACATACATATACATACATATATATATATATATATATATATATATACATATCCTTTAAAATATATATATTTTCCTTTATTACTTTCCAACCCCACCTCCCCTCCCCTAATTGGAGTAAACTAGTGAACAACAATGCTTAGGCCTCTACTTCCAGCTTATACATACTATATACATTTTATGGACACAGTCTATTTTACAGTAGTTCTATTTTGTTTGTCCTCTACCTCTCCGATCTGTTTCTGATGTCCATCCGGTTTGATTTCTATTTGTCATATCTTTCAAACTGTGCTCTTTCACAAAAGTTCTTAACCTATAACCTATATATGTTTTACAGACACAATATGTTTTACATTAGTTATCTTGTTGTTATTAGTTGTTATTAGTCCCATCCTTCAGCTCCATTCAACACCCCCCATCTATCTCTTAACACCATCCATATTGGATTTCTATTTGCCATATATTTTTCAACTGTGCTGTGATGTTTCACAAACGTTCTGAACCTTTCTATTCTCATTGTTTCTACAGATTTTTGCTAAAAGTATTATTATATTATTGATAGATTGACTATGACTTTTCAGATCACCCAGTAGTGCTATCTGCAGGGTTAGCTCCACATATATATTGCAATTCTTCAGCCATTCCTGGACCTGTGACCAAAAACAAGCTATATATGGACAGTCCCAAAACAAATGATCTAATAATTCTGTCTCTTTGCAGCTAAATCTGCAGAGCTGGGAAGGTTGTATCCCCCCATATAAATAACATTCTATTGGTTGCAAGAATTTTCTATAATCATTTAAATGGAACAATTCTAAGTTTTGAATCCGGCGTCGTTTTGTTTATCAGTTCATAAACACTATGCCATGGGATCGGTACGTCAAAAATCTCTTCCCAACTATTTTGCAATCTATATGGGACGGCTGTCAATTTTTTGGTCCTTTTTTGAAACTGGTATACCTTTTTATTTATCACAATTTTCTTTAACCAATTATGTTCTTTAATGCAGGGCAGACAGACAAGTTCCTTACTTTTCCCCCTTCCACTTTCCTCTTCCATTTTTGCGGTAATGCTGCGATTAGTTGGTTGTAATTTTGGGTAGAGTAGACATTTCCAGATATTTTTGTTAGCTGCATGTGCGACAACTCCACCAGTCCTATCTATGATATCATTAACGAAGATTATACCCTTTTTATACATTTTTCAAAAAAGTATGGTTTTTTATCAATTAGTATATTTGAGTTTAACCACAATATTTGTTGCATTATTTGTTCTGTCCTTTCTGGTGGATTAAATTGAAATTGCAACCAACTTTCTATAGCTTGTTTTAAAAATAGCGATATTTCTGAGATTATTTCCTTTTCAATGACAAAGACCAAAGCAGGTGGGAGTATCGTTGTCGAG